GAACTCAGTTGGGCCACGAATGCGGACATAATGAGGGAGGGTGGAAACCTCCAGCCTGTGGCCTTTTCTTTGTTACACGCCTAAAAGAGGCAAAAGGTCCCAACAATTTCCCCTTTTTGTTTTATAAATGCTCTGGGATGTCCCGGCGGGCAAGGACCCTGTCTTAGATTGTCCCCCTCTGGGGATCTTACCCGTCACTGGGTACCTTGCAGCTCCTTGGTTGTCCCAAGCTTACTCATCCTCCGAGGCCTGTCTTAGGTTGTCTCCACCTTGGAGATCTTACCCGTCATGGGCACATGGGGAGATAGTCAGGGGGAATCAGTGGACACTGCTGCATCATAAGGCTCACAGCGACTGTAGGGGTCACTGGCTTCTGTGGCAAGTCTCTGGTATTGTACTTGCACGCTCATCAACTGAATTGATTCAATTCTTTTTTGGACAAACTGGACAATTTTGTTAATGGTGCAGGGCCCAAAAGTGAAAAGTAGGAGCAAAAGAAGGATAGGACCAAGGAGCAGAAGATAGGGTGACCACCTATGTAACTCAGGCCAAAGAAAATTGGCTTGTAATTCTTGTCTGCGTCTCTCAAGGTCTTGAAGTTGTTTGACCTTATTTTGGACTATGCTGGAGCGGTTCGCATAGAAGCAGCATTCTACCTGTAAAAAGAGACATAAGCCTCCCATTTAGCTGTGAGGAGGTCAAGCCCCCTACGGTTTTGTAGGACTACTGCCGCGAGGGAATCTAATTGTGCTTGGAGGTCAAGAATTGTGCTGGCCACAGCTCGTAGGTCATTGATCATCTGTTGAGAAAGAGCTTTATANAATATAGAGGATCAGTGGCAAGTTTGGATTATGTCTTTTTAAGGCAGCTTTATCAATGGCATGTTGAACTTTTGTCAATGTATCTCTATGTATAGGGGTTAAAGTCACTGTTGAGGCTAGGTTAAGGCCTTTTAATAGGTTGAAAAGAGGAATAAGATCAGCTGTGGTTATAGGAATCCAGGGACTCATCCAATTGATTTCCCCCAGCAGTTTCTGGAGCTGTGGTAGTGTATACGCGTCCTGAATACATAACTGGGGATTAAGAGGGGAGACAACATCTAATGTTAAAGTAGTCCCCAAAATTTTAAAAGGGGCTATCTGTTGAACTTTATCTGGGGCAATTTGAAAGTTGTAGTTTTTGAGCAGGGAAAGGCACCTTTTAAAGGGTAGTCTAATTTGCGGGAACAAGTGGTCCCCAAGATAATATCATCCATATATATGTAAAAGAGGATGTGAGATTCCTCTCAGCTTATTGCTGGCATTCCTCTTTATACAAAGCACACCAATTAATATAAAGGGGGCCAGGGAGAACTGCCCGGGCAAGAGCCCTCCAATCTGCGGCGTTGCACGGATGGTGAACAAGTCCCTGGAGGATGGTCTCAGTCCAAGGAGCATTGGGGCCGTCCTCAAGAATGGCCTTCTTTAACTCCTTAAGGTCACCTGGCTCCCAAGGGTACCAGGGGGAGGGCAGTTACCTCCGGGATTAACATTGACAGGAAATAGCTGACATGGCCCTAGGTTGGGTTGTGGGTGGAGCCCTGGTTCTCTTGAGGTTGGCAGCCAATAGGAGAGCATGAGTCCTTATATGGGGAAGGAGGTAATGTCTCCGCCCTCAGGTATGGGAGGGGAGGGGCTGATGGCAACTTGAAAGGGTTAGAAGGAGAGCTAAGACCCAGAAGTGGAGGATATAAGGGAGTTGTGGATTTTGGGGGCAAAGAAGTGGCATCAAATGGGTCGGTGGTGCGGCTGCTTCGATCCTTCTCAGGCTCTTTATCACTCTCCTGGCCTGAAGGGGTGGTTTTGGGTGGGGGAAGAGGACCCAATTTTCCCTGAGATTCGATAATTAATTCTCAGTCTTGATAATTTGCTATAATGACTCAGAACTCAGGGAAACACTTACTCTTACAGCTTTACTATAAAGGATAGAAATGAACAGGCAGATGAAGAGATACATAGTGTGAGGCACAGAAGAGTCCCAGGAGAGGAGCCTCTGTCCCTATGGAATTTGTCATGAACATCCTCCTAGATGTGTTCATCTGGAAGCTCTTCAGGGTTTTTATCAAGGTTCCATTATGTAGCGTGACTGGTTAAATCACTGGCCATTGGTGATGGGCTTAATCTCTAGTCCCTCTCTGCTCCCCAGAGGTGGAGAGATGGGGTGAAGCTGCAATCCTGTAATCACTGGTTGACTCCTCTGGCAACCAGCCTCATCCAAGAGTCACATCATTAGCATAAACTCAGGTATGGTTGATGAGCCTGTTATGAATAACACAAGACACTCCAATTACCCCTTTCACTCAGGAAGTTAAAGTGTTTAAGAAGCTCTGTGCCAGGAACCAGGAATGAAGACCAAATACATATTTCTTGATATATCACAATATCACAGGTACCCTCTTAGGTTAGGACTTGTGGGGTCTCCCTCAACAGCAGTCTGGTCCCAGGGCAATGGGCTCTTTGGAGAATTTGTTCTCTTTGCCCTAAACCAGAGGACTGACTGGCCAGTATAATATGAGGCTTGCCAGGCTGCAAAGCCTCCTTTCCAGACTGTATTCCTCTTCTGGGTCCCTAGCTGAACTCTTCTCTGCTGGCCTCTTAAATATTAATGTCCCTTGAGCCCTGGCTTGGGCCCTTTGCTCATCATGTCTCCTTGCAGAGAGCTACCGCATACTTTGATAACTAGCTACCACTTGCATATTGGTGGCTAACACAGTTTCACTCCATTCCTGATCTTGCTGTGACACAAGACTCCTATGACTATCCCCGGAAAGCCATTGCCAATCTGGAATTATTTCTCTGTAGTCGTGTAGGCTGAAGCTAGTCGGTCTGCAAGAGCATTGCCCCTCGACAGAAAGCTTGGCAAGTCTTGATGTCCTCTTAAATGTTGTATAAAAAGGGGAATTAGTCTCTGTTTTAACAAATTGCGAGCTTGAATCATCAAGGGAGTGATGGGATTATTGTCAAGTCTGATGTGTGCGCCCACAAGGTTGGGCAGTAGATTGACAACTTAAAGGCTATCAGAAAACAGAGTAAGAGGGCTTTGGATCTCAAACAGAGCTAAAACAACAGCATAAAGCTCTTTAAACTGGGCAGAGCCCTGTACCTCATGAAAGAAGGTTACAGCCAGAGGGCATTCACTTGTGCCTCGGGGAAACATTACCAGAGGCTCCCCATTTACCCCTGTCAGTAAAAACAGAGGGGAAAGAGGGGTCTGCCTCAAAGAGGAACATTTTAGGTGGCTGCCACACCAACTGGCTAAAAGAACTCATCCACTTATAGGGATCATAGTGACAGTCCACTATCCCCGGAAAGCCATTGCCAATCTGGAATTATTTCTCTGTAGCCACGAGAAATCATTGACCCGAAAAGGGACAATCAAAGAGTGGGGTTCACACCCAGAAAGACGGACAGAAAGATCTTGTCCCTTGACAATGCAGTCAGCCATTTGATCCACTATAGAGTACACTCGGAGTGCCCCTCCCACAGATAGATGTATCCAATGTACAGGATCTCCCTCCTGAGCCAAAAGGGCAGTGAGGAGGGTCTCTCCTGCCATAATATAGAGGATCAGTGGCAAGTTTGGATTATGTCTTTTTAAGGCAGCATTATCAATGGCTGTCTGCCAAGCATCTCTACCCATGTGTGCCTCAGACATGTCTGACACATGACATCCTCTTTGCTTCTGTTCTTTCTCTCACCTCTGATTACCACCACCATCACCCACTCACCTTTGAGATACCTGGGTGCTTACTCTTCCTTCACCCACAACCAGTTAAGGTGCAATTCTCTTCTTCACAATGGCCCCTCAGTGTCTCAGTGTTACTGTTCTACTTGTGAACATTGTCTTCCATCTAGGTTTTTACAGTCTTTTCCTTTCACTTCCTTCCAGGTCACCCACCACATTTCTCTTCCCATTCATTTACTTTCAGCCCATCTGTGAGTGCTCTATCACTTGTGGGCAACATCACTTTTTTTATGCAGTGTGACAGTCTCTGCCTTTTTGGAGTATTTTCCTGTATATTAAATTACATTATAATTTAATATAGTTTAAATATAAATATAATTGTTGGCATGGTTGGATTTATATCTGTCACTTTAGTATTTAGTTTTTGTCTCATCTGCTTTTGTTGCTCTGTTTTCTCTTGTGTGTGTTTGTGTGGATTAATTGAATATTTCTTAGAATTCATTTACTTTATTTCAGAATACCTCTTTGCACTATGATTTTAGTAGTTGCTCTAGGGATGCCATACACATATTTAACTTTTCAATCAGCTTGGACTTATCATTGTACCACTTGACACAATGCAAGAAACTCACCACATGCCTTCTGCAATGTGCTACATACACCTCTCCACTGGTATATTTCCCATTGTCTTGAAGTCCATCATCTCATCACTTAAGGCCTCTGTGCACTCTTCTCTTACTAATGAGTGACTTGCTGCCCTTAAAGTCATGTTTTGCCTCCATGTCTTTGTTTATGCTGTTCCTTCCACAAGGAATGCAGTTTCTCCATTGTCCTACAGAGAAGGCTATGCTCCATGTATCCCTTAGCTCTGAAAAGCCTGAAAAGTGAAATAGACCATTCACTTCTCTGTCATACCCTAGATGTCCTACCATCACAACTTTTATACTTGCACTCCGATGGCTTTACATTATTGCTCTCTCTGCCAAGCTGTAAGCACCTTCAGGTCAGGAACCATCCATGAATGTGTCCCCAGCAACCAGCACTGGGTCAGACATACAATGGGTCTTCAGTCAGTATATGTTGATTCAAAGTATAAATGACAATGGCCTCCAATGTGTTTGTCATTTTTCCCAACATCTGTAGCCCAAGGTCAGGAATATAAAAGGCATCTGAGATAGATAAATGATCAGGATAAGCACTGACCTGTGAACATTATAAAAAAAGTCAGTGTTCTGCCTACATTTTTCCCACATGACTCATTGTTACTTCATCTTCAGCAGAGACCAGTGTCATTCAAGGACGTGGTAGTGGGCTTCACCCAAGAGGAGTGGCACAGGCTGAACCCGGCTCAGAGGGCCCTGTACCGGGATGTGATGCTGGAGACCTACAGCAACCTCGTCTCAGTGGGTAAGAACAGCTTTGCCACTCAATCTCAATTGTGCTTGAATATCCTTTTTCAGTTGCTGAAAGTCCCTAGAGCTTCAGAAGTACCAAACACTTTCTATGTATTTAGCTTTTTTTAAAACATTTTCTCTATTTTAGCCACTTTAAAAATATTAAAATGCAAGAGTCTTTATAAGGTAGGTACTTTTAGTACCACTATTTTGCACATTTGGAAACTGAGGCAGAGAAGTGAATTAACACCCAGTGTTACCCACCTCGTACATAGCAGAGCTGGAGTAGGATTTGAACCCCAGCAGTCTGGCTGCACAGTCTGCAGTCCTAATTGTTACGCTTTGCTGCCTGTGAGTTTGGTCCAAGTTTCGGTGGTCTTGGATTACTAATTCCTTTTGGGTTCTGTACGAGGTGGGTGTGCAGTCTCCTCCCAAGTACAATGTCTGTTATGCAGCCTTTAATGCTGCCTGAGTGGCCCTGAAGACCAAGGAGCTCAGCCCAAGGCCTGGATCATTTCCCTGGAACAGGTTATAAAGGCACCAAACCATATGTGATCCTCAAACTGGAGCAGGAGGAAGCACCATGGATTTGTGAGGCGGCATGCTCAGGCTGCCACTGTCGGGGTAAGTATGATAAATACAGCAGAAGGGGCACGCACTATGGGAGGCTGGCACCTTTGGAATTTTGTTCAGGGTCCAGCTCGTAAAAGCCTTCAGCCTTGATGCATCCCACCTACCTTATCCAGGTGTTCTTCCTCCCTCTACATTAACTATTACCTCTCCCTGTGTACTTGTTCCATCTCCCTTTCTCCAGAATCCTTGGTCTGTCTCTTGAGGTCATCATTACACCTTCCCTTTCACATTCTTACATTCTTACAAATAAGCTATGATTCTCCTATTCCCGATGCTCACTTCCTGTTCTGTGTTCTAATGGTTTCCAGGTAAAATGCCTCAGACCTGCCTGCCATAACCACAGTCTCACTTCCCATCCTTTCCTTATCCCTATGCCCCTTAACTTCCTTAAGTCACAGAGGAAGAAGCAGTGAATTCCAGGAGGTGACCTAGGACAGCTGGGTGATGAGGGAGATGGCTGAGCTTGACCCGTCTTCACTACTTCTCTAACATTCAGGAATAACTGCCCCTCTCCCATCATCTCTGTAAAATATTCCAACAATACCCATGGTACCCTGAATGTTGTAGCCCACTCTTAAGGATGCCTCGGAACTTCTGTTTTTCCACGAGAGTCATGAGCTTAGTAAGAGGAGTCAGTACCATCTGTTCCCAGATCTCTTTATGCCACTTCTACTTGGTGTTGTAATCACATAATTAGGTTAAATATTATGTAAACCCCAAAACATGAAGTCATTTTCATGCTTCTCCCCAAAATGATGTCATTGAAATTCCCATCATCCAGCTTTTACTGGTTGTATTAGTAGTAGTAACAGCATCAGAATTATTGGCCAACTCTTAGTGTGTGCTCACTGTGTGCCAGGGCTGTTTTCAGCCCTTTACATTTATCAACTTATTCAATCCTTACAACACCTGTGAGGTATCCAGTCTTTACTACTCCATTTACAAATGAGGAAACAATCACAGAATAGTTAGGAAACTTGTCTCAAAGCATATAGCAAAGGAAAGGACTGAATGGGGATTTGAACCCAGGTGGTCAAACTCCAGAACCAATTATCTTAACCATCACAGTCTTGTGCCCTCTGGGGTATATTTTGCTTCATTAAACTGTGCTTTATCAACCTTCCTGAAACCATTGTAACCTGGCTGTCACTGCTTTTCTTTACCTTCTTTCAAGAATTTTATATAATTGCAAAAAAAAAAAAATGTAGTGTTCTAAATGTTCTGTATCCTCTATTTCCCTGGTTGTAACCCAGCTTTTTCCTTTCAAAGGGCTACTACATTTTTCATTTTTCCAAATTTGGTTCCCTTCTCAATGGTATAACTCCCTCAAAGAAGTCATTCTGAGATTACATGGTGTTTACAACTGGTCTCTTTTCCATTTTGTGTCATTTTGTCCCCCTTGTACCATGTAGCCACCCATTTACCAGTCTAAGAATCATCTCCAGTTGTGTCCATTTACCCCTGCTTTATGTATGGCAAAACCTGACGTCATCCTCATTCCTACTTGCTATCTCCTCTCCAACCACACACAAACCACACACACACACACACACACACACACACACACACACACACACACACACCTCATTTTGTTCCAGAGCTTTGCTACCATGTGGTCATTTTGAATCTTCTGTCTCTGCCACCCTATTTGTTCTGTCCATTTGTGCTGGTTTTGTTGATGGTTTTTCTTTGAGAAATGACTTAAATCTTCCTCCTCACTACTTTTCATTTTCCACTGACATCTAAAGTTGGACACAAATTACCTCATGCCTAAATGTTTAAAGGCATCCTTTTTGTGCCTTAGAACTCTAAGATATTCTGGTGAAGCCTAGTAGACCCCTTTCTTACATATAAAAAATAAAATATATAAGCTACAAATGGAAAAATTACTAAAATACAGTAATTATTAAAATAAAGTTAGAAAATGTAACATCAAAATATTTTCAAAATATGTGATAGTAATGGAAGTACTCCCTTATTTATATATTAAATAATAGGCTCTAGCATCAGGTCTAGTAACTGTCATGACCTGAAAGTAGAGATGATTGTAAACATATTTTAGGAGAAATCTTCAACTATAATGTGACATGAAAATGCCATATTTACAAACTATTCCAAAGTTACAGGAACTAATATTACTGTTTGTTTCTTGCATTAACAATGGAAGGAAATGCTCAGTTGTAGTTAAAGCTTAGTAAAGATAGCGATGTAATTTTTTCCCTATCAAAATTCACAACTCCCCTGATTTCTATCCACCAAGAGTACCTGCTCCTTATCCAGTTAATCTTAGAGTCCTTGACATTTATATTGCAATAACTAGCTCAGTTAATATGATAAGCTCTCTGGTGACCGCTATATCTTTGCTTGTCAGAAATCTTAATATGATAAAAAGTGCCTGGGAAACTTGTTAAAAATGCAAGTTCTGATTCAGTAGGTCCAGGATGGGGCCCAGTATTCTACAAATCTATCAGCATATCAGTCCTCAGATGAGGCTGAAGTTGTCCACTGAGAGCAATGCACTGAGTAACAAGGTGCTGTATGACATTTAAACCCCTTTCCTCTGTAACAGTGGATAGTTTTATTAGAACATAGCCACACCCTTATGTTTACATGTTGTGTGTATTGCCATGATACCACGGGAAAGTTGAGTAATTTGGCCAAACCATATGGCCCCAAAAGCCTAAAGTACTCTGTGGCCCTTTTAGGAACATGTTTGCTGATCACTGTTCTATATCATCACATCTTCAAAATTATTTCTTTCTATATTCTATGTGTTTATTTCATTTGTGCCAGTGTTCTGAATCTTCTCTGCTCATACTCTTCCCTGCATGGTGCCTTTGGTTATGTCAGGCTCTCCATTCATATACTGTCCATCCTTTAAATTTTTAGGGCATTTCTCAAGTAGTTTTATTTCAAATCATAATAATAGAAAGATTCATACAGAAAGGTTTGCTGTACTTTCTCCAGAAAACATTTGGCAAGTTAATGTCCAGAGAAAAAGACAGCAAGACATGCTTTTGAGGCAAGGTGCATTCATCAGCAAGAAAACAATACCCAAGGAAAGATGTCATGAATATAATAAGTTTGGGAAAATATCACATTTGAGCACTGATCTTTTTCCTTCAATTCAGAACCCCATTAACTGTGGAAAGAGTATAAAGCATAATTTAGACTTGATTGGTATTAAAAGAAGCTATTCAATAAAGCAAGATGAGTGCTATGCATGCGGTAACTTGTTACAGCATACAAACCATGATAGAAGACCTAATGGAGACAAACCCTGGGAATGTAGACACTGTGAGAAAGCTTTCAGTCGTAACCCAGCACTTATGTCTAAACCAGCAGTAACCAATTCTCTTGTGTACAAACGTAAGAGGGTTCCACCTACAGAGAAACCTCATGTCTGTAGTGAGTGTGGAAAAGCCTTCTGCTACAAGTCTGAATTCATTAGGCATCAGAGAAGTCACACTGGGGAGAAACCATATGGATGCTCTGACTGTGGGAAAGCATTTTCACATAAGTCAACCCTCATTAAACACCAGAGAATTCACACTGGGGTAAGACCCTTTGAATGTTTTTTTTGTGGGAAAGCCTTCACCCAGAAGTCACATCGCAGAGAACACCAGAGAACACATACAGGAGAGCGACCCTTTGTCTGCAGTGACTGTGGGAAGTCATTTGGTGAGAAATCATACCTCAATGTGCATCAAAAAATACATACAGGAGAAAGACCCTATCGTTGCAGAGAATGTGGAAAGTCCTTCAGCCAAAAGTCATGCCTCAATAAACATTGGAGAACTCATACAGGAGAAAAACCCTATGGATGCAGTGAATGTGGCAAAGCTTTCTATCAGAAGCCAAACCTCAGTAGACATCAGAAAATTCATGCTAGGAAAAATGCCTATAGGAATGAAAACCTGATTGTGGGAAAGCCTTGAATAAGATCATCCTATTTCATTATATGTGGAGGAATTTATCCTTAGCAGAAATCTCACTGATTAAATGAATTTGGACGGTGTTTTACCATAAGGGATGTCATACTCTAATTGTGGTAGAAAGTTTTACACAAAAGGTTATAGAAAATACTCTATAAAACAAAAACATGGTCATGCTAGCTAATGAAAACTTAAAAATGTATTAAACGGAATCACAACATGACACAAAATATATGTGAAGAAAATTAGAGGTATATGTTTCACACTGAGCCATGTAATAACTACTATAGATATTTTGGAATTGTAAATGTGAAAGACATATGTCACATAGTATGTAGAATGCCATTCACCAAACTTTCCATTCTAAATATCATTATTGTCTTTGGTGTCTCTAACAATACAAAAAACAAAAATAACATGGCCAACTATTTTTTAAGAAACCTTAATATATTATACCAGCCAAATTTTCCCATTTTTTTTTTACAATACATGTAAATGGCTATAATATTTGTTACTGGGCCCCCTTCTGAATAAAAGGCAATGTTTTATAATGTATTTTCTTAAGTTAACCAAAAACTTTATTAAACACTTTTAACATTAAAAAGGCACTTATCTTGCCTTCATTATTTTAATATATAAGTAATAAATATATTATTAGGTAAGCACACAATACATTTATTTTGCCTTTATCAATACTGAAAAGGAATAGTTTCACTGTGTGCCATCTGTTGAACAAAATACTATAAACTTGATTACTCAGCACACTCATTTGACAGAAAGTGTGGCCCTGGCATGTTGTACACTATTCCTATTTTCTTAGCCTTGCTCAAGTGTCTTTCAGCAGATTAGTAGGGGAGACATTCTAGCTTTTCATCATTCCAGTCTTTGAGAAAAGTACTTCCTTGAGCTGTCATGTCATCTGTATAAGAAAACAAATGGCCACATTGTTCAAGATTTGACTCCCTGAAAGTATGCCTGATCCAGAATGAGAGGGGAAATGTATCACAGATAAATATATCATTTAAAAAATTATAAAAGATACTTCATGCAACTCTAGATCAACATTATTAAAACAGAGGACATAGATGCTTTTCTAGCAAAATAATGTTATGCAAGTTGCAGTAAGTAGAAAACTTGATATAACAAGTACAAGTGAACAATTTGTAAAAGTGATTAATGACCTATGATTGAAAATTGCTCTAGGCCCAGATGATTTCATGATTAGTTCTAACTTTTAAAGAAAGAGTAATACTAGTATTATTTAAAATATTTCAGCCCATATATTATGCTCCCCAATTTATTTTATGAAGTCAGAATAAGTTTAACACCAAAATCAAATAAAGGTAGTTGGGAAAAAGAAAACTCAAGACCAGTCTTACAAATATGGAAACAAAAACTACAAAAATAATAACAAATAGAATTCAGCAATATACCTAAAGAATGGTTTTATGATGACCATGATCTACTCCAAGAATGCAGAGCCAATACAGTAATAGAAAATATATCAATAAAATTAATGGCTTGAATGAACATACTACTAATAGATGTATTTACTAGAATTTGCAAACATTTTTAATCTAATAAAATATAAATTAAGTTGTAACAAATTGTAACCACTTGAGTTCTTTACCAAAACCCCATAGCATATATTATTGCTGAAACCATTTTTTAAAAATAAAGAATTTAATAATATTAGTGATAAGAATGCCCTTTTCCTATTTTTACTGAATATTGAAGTTTCCAGTGAAGGCAATTAAATTTAAATAATATAAACAATGGAAAAGAAAAGATAAAACTTTTTGCTGATGATGTGATTACATACCAATAAAGTGACTAATATTTTTTTAAAGATAATTTTCTAAGAGGTAGGATAGAAAAATCAAGCATTTCTTTGTAGATATCTAATAATTTAGACACACTTCTGTTGGAATTACACTAAATCTCAAATCTTTTTTTCTTCTCATGTGAAATGATCTTAAATTCCATGTAGAAAAGTAAATGCCTGAGAATCCGATAAGAAAAGTATAAAAAAAGTTTCATAGCTGATGTCAGAATATAACAATAGTTATTCTAATCAAATTAATACAGTATTGGCAACAGAAGAGATAATTAAATCAGTGGAACATAATAGAAAATCCTGAAAAATATACCTTAGTATATATGAGCTTTTCACGGATTGGAAATGTGGAATTTCAAGCCATAGGGAAAAAGAATAGTTTATTTTAAAAGAATTGTGGCTTTTAATCAGGGAGAAGGTAAAGTTGAACTAACAATGCAAATGGTATATATTTTTTAATTCCAGGTGAATTTAAGATTTAAAATTTTTAAATAATAAAATTCTTGAAAGAAAAAGACCACATGTACAACCTAGAAGCTGGGAGAGATTACTAACACAGGACACTCAAAAGCTATTAAGAAACAAATGTTTGATTATATAAACAGTATAACCTTTGGCATGGTAAAAGTTGCCATTAAAGTCAATAAATAAACAATAATTTGGGTAACACATCTGCAGAGCCAATCAAACAAAGAGTGCTCTTCAAATTAACAGGGAAAAGGTAGCCCAAGAGGAAAACATGATAAAGAATGTTAATAGGCAGTGTGACAAGAGCAAATCAAGTGGGCTGATGAGCCTATCAAGACATAGTTAGCTTCAGTAGTTGTGGAAGGACACAGATAAATTATAATGAGATAACAATGTGCAATCAAACTGACCAGCAGGACTGGTTTTTGCTGTCAGAACAAAGGGTGGGAACAAATTGTTACAGCTCTTTTAGAAAAATCTGGCAACATCTATTGTGACTTAAAATTCTTATGCCACTTTGGATACTTCTTAGAAGTAAAACTCTAATACATAAACGAGAGATGAACCTGGAAATTATTATAAAATTATTCCTAGTGGCAAAAAACACTAGAATTGAAATAAATGCTCTTTATTAGGGAAATTGGAAGAAAGAAAGCATATCCATTCCATAAAATGTATTTATAGCCATTAAGATGGACAAATAAATCCACGCTGGTGGACTTGAATGGAATCCCACAATGTTATCTTGAGCAAAGAAGGCAAGGTAAAAGTAATGTGTAAAATATGACCCCGTTTTTATCAATCAGTGACAAAATGCCTCTAGGTCTTTATGAATGATAAACTTGTGTTCATATATGTTTGTGTACAATTTTCTATGCATGGAGAAAACTATAGAAGAGTATGCATTGGGTTGGGAGGGGAGTGGGAGATGCAGGTGGGCTATGGGGCATTGGAGAGGGAAAATGAAAACCAAAAAGCAAAAACATGTACATGACTGAACCAAGTATGATATCTCAAATGTGTGATTAATTAAAGAAATGTAAGGGGCAAGCTAGAACTCTACTCATTTGTGGAGATGTTCATGGTATATTGTTAAGTGCAAAGAGCAAATTGCAGAATTATGTATATGAACCTATTTTTTAAAATAAATGTGTATTTATGTGTATATATGCATGTATATGTTTATATGAACAAAGGAAACTGGAAAGATATACAAGGTGTTAATTAACATTGGTTATCTTGGTGAGGAAGGGAAATATAAGTGTTTATATATCTTTGTGTGGGTTTACTTGTTACAACATATTACTTTTGTAATTTGAAAAAATAAATGGGGAAAAGTTTCCAAATGCATGAAGCCATGCAAATGTTTCTATTTTCTGACAAGATGGCACCTTGGCCTGGTTTACTGCCTTTCTTGCAGCTCAGTCCTTCAGATATCACCAGAGTAAAAGAAAATATGTATATCTGAAAAGCAAAAATAAATACTTGGAGAAATCCCCAAGTAGAGAAAGGCTTTCTTTTTGTTTTTATTTTGAAATAATTTTTTACTTCCAAAAAGTTGGAAAATAAAGTTTCCATATAGTCTTCACCCATCTACTCCAACATCTTATATAACCATAGCACAATTATCAAACCAGGAAATTAACATTGATACAATACTAGTAATTAAACTAGAGTTCTTCCCACTTCATTCTTTGTCTAGGCCAAGATCCAGTCCAGATTCCACACTGCATTTACTTGTTTCTCTTTAGTCTCCCCCAGTTCGTGACAGTTCTTCAGGCTTGTCTTTCAAACTTAGACACTCGTGAACAATACTGGTATGGATAAAACTGTAATATTTCCAGAATATCTCACCTAGCTTTGGTGCATTTGCCTATCCTCAGGGGTGGACAGAAGTTCATCTCTGTGTCAGTGGGTAATTAGCTGGGCGACTGAGGGCGTGTCTGAACCTGAGAGGTTAAGAGGAGGGGCTTGCTTGCGTGCTTCCTCTGGAGCAGGGGAAAGAGATGGTGCTGGACTGCAGTTTGTAAGCAATGAACGGGTTTTAAACTTTATTTCTCCCTTTGACCGATTTCAGTTTTTAGAGGTATTTTGCCCTGGGATTTCCTCTCCCCAGACTTACATTCTGGCGGCAGCCAGCAGGGTTTCTCTGAACCCAAAATCTGTCATAATGGATGTGACTTTGGGAGGGCTACCCCTAGAAATGGTGGGGAAGTGCCCAGTAGCCACCCTGTGGATGACTGGGAGGCCTCAGTGGATGCATTGGCAAATGGTGCAGCTTCACCTGTTATTATCCTCCCAGCTGTGGGGCTTCCAATTTTGGAACCCCTAGTGGGGAATTGGTCTAGGGTAAAGTGCCTCTTAGATGGGTGGGGCCTTCCCCAGGACTGGGGAAGGGTGGAAACACCGGAAGCTGCAGAATTAGCCCTCTGTGAGTTTGAAGACTGCTTGGAGACCTTAGGGGTCATGTAGTGGCTGGCATTGTAGGTTCTTTTCATCAAGATAGTGGAAAATGGTATACAGGAGAGAGAGGGACTTAGGTGGGAGAGAGACACACTTCAGCATCGCTTGGAGGAGCTGGGCGATAACCTATGGGATGCTATTAAAGAAGAGAGAGAGTTACTGAAAAGATAGGTCATGCTCCTACAAAACTCCATAGTGGCAAGGGGGGAGGCAGCAGGAAAAGCTGCATTACAGGAGGCCATGGGGGAGGGGGAGGAAATAATAGTTTCTTTAGCCCTGGAAATGGTGGAGGAGGAGCTGTTGGTGGAGGAGCCCAAGGGAGAAGAGGAGGAGGTGGAGTGAGCCATTGGCGGGTCTGCTAACCAGGCCACAACTGGAGGTACCATCTTCTCCTGTTTTAAAGGCCTGCCCAGCTGTAACTAAGAAAATAAAAATGAAACAACCATGGGCTTCTCAGGTGGGGGGGAGCAGCCCCTTCCCCAGATGTGGAGGGCTCCATGCTGCACCCCCATACCCAGGATGAGCCAATGGACATAAGCATCCAGTATAGGAAGAGGAAATCAGAATCTCTGCCTCCATGGCTTTTACGTCTGTGGGATATGGAGGTGGAGAACATTGTTATGTCGGGTACTGAGATATGTAGAATGGCTTCCCTGATGACTCACCCTTTCCTCCATCAGCAGTTGCAAAATACCCATCACACAGTGCTCAAAACAAGGCTGCTGAGAGGATTAAAGATGGTGGCATGAGAGGAGAGACAGAGTCTTCCTCCTAAAACTGGAGCCCAAGGGAGAGGAGGAGGAGGTGACATTTCCCCACCATTTCTAAGGGCAGCCCCCCCAAAGGTCACATCCATTATGACAGATTTTGGGTTCAGAGAAACCCTGCTGACTCCTGCCAGAATGTAAGTCTGGGGAGAGGAAATCCCAGGGTAAATACTTCTAAAAACCAAAATCAGTCAAAGAGAGAAATAAATTAGAAAATATAGTTGGTGCAACTAATCCTGAGAGAGCAACAGGAAAGAGGATGGTGCCAGACTGCATACACCTGTGGAAAAGAGCAGACCTCACTGAACGGTCTAATGTACCAGAGCTGTGTCTGGGTGGGACCCGAGCCCTTCCCCCACCCCAGCTGACTGGCGGGAGGCAGAGAAACTGGGTAGGGAGGGAGTGGAAGGCCTGGGACTGCTGAATACCTAGCTCTGGAGATCTCTTGGAGCACAAACCTACATTCCATGGTGCTTTCATGATACTCTTGCAATTATGGGGTTGGAAAGCTGGGACAGGTGGAGTTCCTGGGGAGACTGGGAATCTGGCCACTTGTGGAAAGCAGGGATCCATATCTGGCTGCTCTGAGACAAAAGCTTATATCTTGTTCTCTGTCCACTGGTTCTGGCAGTGGAGACAGGCACAGCATCTGGGAAGTGGGAAACAGCTCTTCCCTCCCCCCAGACACCAATACTGCTCCCCTGCGACCCCTGACATTGCCTCAGGGACTGAGCAGCTCCAGAATAGAGCGTCTGGACACTAAAGGGTGCCATATAAAAACATGAAACACCAAAGGAACGTGGTCCAGAGTAAAATTAATATAACTCCAGAGAAGGACTTAAATGACATGGAACTTACGACTCTTCCTGAAAGAGAGTTCAAAATAAAAATCATCAACATGCTAATGGAGGTATGGAAAGATATCCAAGAACTCAGGAATGAATTCAGGTCTGAGATCCAATTACTAAAGAGCACAATGGAGGGTATTAAAAGCAGGTTGGATACAGTGGAGGAGACGATACATGAAATAGAAACTAGAGAAGAGGAATACAAAGAAGCTGAGGCACAGAGAGAAAAAAAGCATCTCTAAGAATGAAAGAATATTGAGAGAACTGTGTGACCAATCCAAACAAAACAATATTCACATTATAGAAATACCAGTAGAAGAAGAAGAAGAGAGAAAGAAAGGGATAGAAAGTGTCTTTGAGGAGGTGCTG